AACGCCTCACAGAAAATCTGTGGCAAAGCCAGGAATTCTACCCAGAGCTCCTAAATCCAGTGTCTTTGAGTCAGACCAAATGTCCAGTATCCTGTCTTCCGATAGTGACCAATGCCAGGTGCCCCAGAGGGAATGAACAGAACAGGTAATCATCCAGTGATCCATCCCCTGCCGCCCATTCCCAGCTTCTGGCAAACAGAGGTGAGGGATACCATCCCTGCCTATCAATGGCTAATAGCCATTAATGGACCTATCCTCCAGGAATTTATCTAGTTCTTTTTTGAACCCTGTTATAGTCTTGGCTTTCATAACATCATACTGGAAATTCTTCAGACATTTTCATTTAAATATAAACAATGGAGGTTTGCATTGAATTAACTATTAAAATGAACACCATAATCCAGGGGTCGGAAACATTTGGCACGCGGCTCCCCAGGGAAAGCTCCCTGGCGGGCCAGGCCAGTTTATTTACCTGCTGACGCGGCAGGTTCGGCCGATCGCGGCCCCCACTGGCCGCGGTTCGCCGTCCCGGGCCAATGGGGGCGGCGGGAAGCTGCGGCCAGCACATCCCTCGGTCCACGCTGCTTCCCGCAGCCCCCATTGGCCCGGGACGGCGAACCGCGGCCAGTGGGGGCCGCGATCGGCCGAACCTGCCGCGTCAGCAGGTAAATAAACTGGCCTGGCCCGCCAGGGTGCTTACCCTGGCGAGCCGCGTGCCAAATGTTGCCGACCCCTGGATTATGGTGTTCATTTTAATAGTTAATTCAATGCAAACCTCCATTGTTTATATTTAAATGAAAATGTCTGAAGAATTTCCAGTATGATGTTATGAAAGCCAAGACTATAACAGGGTTCAAAAAAGAACTAGATAAATTCCTGGAGGATAGGTCCATTAATGGCTATTAGCCATTGATAGGCAGGGATGGTATCCCTCACCTCTGTTTGCCAGAAGCTGGGAATGGGCGGCAGGGGATGGATCACTGGATGATTACCTGTTCTGTTCATTCCCTCTGGGGCACCTGGCATTGGTCACTATCGGAAGACAGGATACTGGACATTTGGTCTGACTCAGTTTGGCTGTTCTTGTGTTCTAATGCAAGAACGTTGCACCAGAATACTGGCAGGTCAACACTAGATGTTTTTGTTCAGGTGTGGGGTGTTTTTTTTAAACAATGTTTCTATACTGGAAAAAAAATGTAGATAATTATATCAGCAAAAAGTGCTTTTGCAAGTATAGTTTGTTTTGTTTGAGGAACTGCTATCAGCTATTTTGGCAAAAGCACTCTTTTGTAGGTATGTATCTACACTGGCGGAGTTGTTGGTATAGCTATACTGGCAAATCTTTTCTAGGATAGATTAGGCCCTAGAGCAGGGGTGGGCAATCTTTTTGGCCCGAGGGCCATATCTGAGTATGGAAATTGTATGGTGGGCCATGAATGCTCACAAAAATTGGGGGTTGGGGTGCGGGAGGGGGTGAGGGTTCTGGGGTGGGGCCAGAAATTAGGAGTTCAGGGTGTGGGAGGGCGCTCAGGACTGGGGCAAGGGGTTGTAGTCTGGGGGGCAGAGGTGAGGGCTCCAGCTGGGGGTGAGGTGTTGGGGGTGTAGGAGGGTGCTCTGGGCTGGGACCAAGGGGCTCAGAGGGCAGGAGGGAGATCAGGGTTAGGGGAGGAGGTCAGGGGTGCAGGCTCCAGGCAGCAATTACCTCAAACAGCTCCCAAAAGCAACAGCATGTACCCCCTCCAGCTCCTGCACGGCCAGGCATCTCAGCACCCTGCCCTGTCCGCAGGCGCTGCCCCTGCAGCTCCCATTGGCCATGGTTCCTGGCCAATGGGGGCGGTGCTTGGGGCGGGGGCAGCGTGCGGAGCCCCTTGGCTGCCCCTACGCGTAGGAGCCGGAGGGGGGACATGCTGCTGCTTCCAGGAGCTGCGCAAAGCCATGGCACATGTGGAGTTGGGCAAGCCCTGAACCCTGCTCCTCGGCGGGAGCTCAAAGGCCGGATTAAAATATCTGAAGGGCCAGATGTGGCCCACCCCTGCTCTAGAGATTCCAGGGATGTTGTCACGGAATTTGGTTCCAGCTTACCACAAACTGCATAGGCCCATGACCTTAGTTAACACAAAATGCAGTGAAGCCCATTACAAGAAGACATTTTCTTGGTAAGCAATGGTTCCTTCTAATTGGAAATACACCTATCACACTGCAGTAAATCAAACAAATGGGCAATTCTCTATAAATGGAGTTTCACTATATCCTATTTTACCCCAAGTGGATTATAGGGTGTGCTTCATTTTTGTTTTTTTTAGTTAATATAAAGATTCAGTTAATCTTTGTATCTTTAATCAGTACATTCATTTGTTTACTGTCTTTCTATTTTTAAACTCTTCTAAAGGGTAATTTGACCACACTAAATGAAAAGATCAGTTTTTATGTAACAAAACAAAAGCACTGCCCTACCTGAATCCCTCCTACCCCCCAATGTATCTTATTTAACTTCAGGGAGGTGCTTTAAAGATTACCACATCTGAGAATTATTATGTTCCTGATTTTTGTGTAACTTCTCTTCTTCCTTATCTGGTGCTTGAAATGATCCTATTTTATGCCAAAAGTATTTCATAGCTAAGCAGTAACTTTCATGTCCAAATGGAAAAAGAACCACTTTCTTTAATCATTATGATCTGTTTGCCTATATCTAGTTTCTGTACATTATCTATAACAGCCCTACTTTCTGAAAGGATGAGTGTGTGTCAGAAGTAAGCAGCAGAAACAATTCTATTTTAGCACAAGTTTTTTTCAGCTCTGTTTGTTCACATAAACTTTTTTGAATAAACTGTTCCAGCAAGGTGGCTATTTCAGCTTCCTTTTGGATAGATTTTTTTTCTCTTGAGTGATCTAGAAACATGTATCTTAAAATGAATTATGAAGTTCTGCCACAACCATGTCTTAAATGTACATCTTTGCTCCATCAAGCAGAGAAGCAAGGTGGAGGTCTTTAAAATATAAATTTGTATATTTTATTTTTGTGTTATGCGTGCGTTGAGGATGTATTTTTTTTCCTCATGAAAAATGCATATAGTCACCACCAAACAGGGATGAGATCCAGATTTAGGTTAGCTGTTTTTGTGTTTTTTTTATTAGATTTCATATAAATAAATTGCAGGACTTCTGTTTTGTATTTTCTTGCTTCATTATTTTGGTTTATGTTATCTATTGTGCTGTATACATATGATGCATCTGAGAACTGGGATGATACTTGCCTAACAAGATTATTGGGAAGGGACTTAGTTAATGCTTTTGATGTCCTTTGAGATCCTCTGATGTAGGGTATAATAGGAGTGCAAAGTATATCTGCTTGTTCTGAATGGAGAAATAAACTTCCTCCATCTAATTTCTCTTTTAAGTAGAAATCATAGCAATTTGTAGACATTCTTACAGTCCAAAAAACAATCCTATTAATTTGTTAGATTTGGTTTTGGAAGTATGTGTAGGGTTGAATGGGATGACTTATAGTTGCCAGTGTGAATTAATGCAATGTCACTTTCTTTTCAGCAACTAGTATTAATGCCAACAAAGTGCCAAATGAAGGAGAAAGTCTGGAAATAAACAGCAAACGGGGCACTTACCAGAATGGACCAGAGGCACTCTATCCTGACCTCCCTTTGTCTTTTGAACCAACCAGCAGTCCACATGTTCAAGAGTCTCCAGGTGTGGCTGGTTTCCATGACAACCTAAGGAAGTCTCAGGGAACTAGTGCTGAGGGAATAGTTCTTAGAAAAGAAGCTTTGCAGTCACTCAAACTAAGTCTTCCCATGCAAGAAACTGAATTGTGTAAGCATCTGTTTACTGTAGAGCCCCTTCTTCTCTTGCTGCCTAAAGCTTTTTTCTCTGAGCGTGTCTGCAGAATCACTTAAGCTTGGACTAAAATTCATTTTTGCAATAAACCACTCTTTGCTCCCAGGAAAGCATGTGCCTTAACATTTAACAAGTTTGGTTGTTCTACCGACCTGAACATTATAGTGGATAGGAAGCTAAATTGCCCTAGTCTGTCCCACTTTGGGAGTAATGGGATGACACTGAGAAAATTACAATTTTAGGTTAAATAATAGCAAAAGCTTCTTACAGTGGGAAGTCTTAGGACTTGTCTACACTACAGGGGAAATTCGATCTAAGCTATGCAATTTTAGTTATGTGAATAGTGTAACTCAAATCAACATAGCTTAGATCTAATTACCGCAGGGTCCACACTACGTGATGTTGACGGGAGACGCTCTCTCATCGACTCCCCCTACTCTTCTGGATCCAGTGGAGTACAGGAATCAATGGGAGAGTGATCTGCAGTCGATGTAGCGGGTCTTCATTAGAGCCGCTAAATCAACCGCCGATGCATCGACCGCCGCTGGTTGATCCACCTGTAAGTGTAGACAAGCCCATAGACTAGACTAGACTAGTCTCTCAAGGGAAGTAAGGGAAGCTGCATCACGTATTTAATACTAAACTGGACAAAATGCAAGTAAATTTACTGTAGGGAACAATCTTACACTAGCCTCTGAGGGATGGAACTAGAAACTGAATAGATTTTGCCTAGTCCTGTCATTCTGTCAGAATTCGGTTCTAAAGCAGGTGGGATTTAGGTGGTAAAAGTATTCTTGCTCTTACTGTGGAAGGTTTTGTCTCAGATCATTCGAAAGAGTTGTGATATTTGTAAATATAAAATGATTGAATTAAGCACTGTAATCTCAATGCTTACATAAGGATACTTCAGAAGATGGGGGAGTATTCCTGAGCTGCATGCTAAAGGGCTGTCCTTGAGAATGATGCATGCTCTGCTTAAGCATGAATGTTGTGTATACATTGCTGATGGGAGAAGGGGTTGATGTAGGGATGTTTTCCACTCTTTCTGTGTTGTGTTTGTCTTTTGAAGTTTTCTTGTGTGACCTTAGAGGTAACTTTTGTGCATAGGTTCATCAGAGTCTTCACTCCCATTGGAGAAAGAAGAACAAATCAGACTTCAGGCAAGAAGGCGTCTGGAAGAGCAGCTCAAACAGTACAGAGTAAAAAGGCACCAAGAAAGAGTAAGCACCTTGCAGCAGATCCTCTGTTTCTAGGTGATCTCTGTAGGTGGGAAGCTTGGAAAATGAACCCATACCTGCCCTAAACTGTCTGTTTCCTGGCTGTAAAAATTCAATAACTTCTAGCCAGGAAAATTTATTTTTCTACTTCTCTTCTGTATGTGCCAAATTTTGCCTTCAGTTGCATCATGGTAATCCATGAAGGCTGCATGGTACCACTAGTGTAATTGAAGGAAGAATTTGGTCCTATATTTTTTTTCCTGAGGTTTGAATGATTATTTGTTGCATATATAATGGTATCCTATTTACCATAGTCCACAACTTTGAGTGACTTCCCTCACTCGCTAGGAATTTCACAAAGAAATTGTTGCTTCTAGGTTTTTTTGTTGATAATTTGGAAAGTCTAGTGTGAAGAACAATAATATATGTTTGGAGTAGTAGAAATGTTTAAAAACAAAACAAAACAAATTTTACAGTGCCTTGTTAGGAAACTCATAGACCTGAGTAAACTGCCACTGCTGTCTTCAAAAGTGTACTATGTGAGGTTTCCATTTAGGCACCATCTGCAATAACTGTACACTTTTCATCGTGTCACTATGTATACTTACTTTATTATTTGTTTATAGTGCAGTAGAGCCCATAGCCACCACTGAGGACTAGGGCTCCATTCTGCTAGATACTGTTAGTAAATTTTACTCCGTAGTAACAGATATGAAGACATGGCTCCTACCCAAAGAGCTTACAATCTCAAATACAAAAATAGATGAAGTCTGGGGGAAAGGTGCACAATATCCAAGCAAAGGCCATGATTCTGTGATGACAGGTGCAGTCTAAACCCAAACAGAATTTACCATGTAAGTAGTCCCATTGAACTCAAATGAGACTCCTAACATGCATAAAGTTACTAATAGTTGTGTTTGCAGGACTGGGGGCAGCAAGATCAAGAGAATGATTGGCATGTTTTATTTCCTTGATTTACAAAAAAAGAGTGTAGGGGTTAGTGAGGGGGGAATGGTAGGAACAGGTGGGAGAGGGGGGTAATCCAGAAGATAGAGAAGTGGAGAAGAAAGAAGATGGATGGAGAGGAATATGCAGGGAAGATTAAACCCTTTGGAGATAAGTCTTGAGTAAAGGATTCTTACAGTTCATATTTGGGTAATACTAAGTTGACCTTGTGCTCATAATACTTTTGGTTATTTCTAAACTGAGTCTCTTTGCTCTTATGCATTTATCTCATAATGTGACATTTTAATCTAGTATTTATGAGCATTTAATTGTATATTTATGTAATCAATATAATTGCATTTGATTTTAGTGTCAACATAGAATTGCATGCTGTAATTAGAATGTACAAATCTGATATATTATTGTGTATATATGATATTGTAAAGGGATAGTTTTTTAAAGTTTAAATCTTCACAGTTTTACTTTCTTAGTAAATACTAAATACAATTAGCCCCCATTAATTGACTTTCCATAATTTTGTTTTTAAATGCACACGTCTAAATCATAGATGTTCTGAAAAATCCATATTCTTTTCTTTGTCTTCTCATAATACAAAAAAAAAAAATTGAAAAACTTTTGGAAAGTTTAAAAATTATTATTCAAAGGCTGAAGCCTTTATTAAGTTGTTAAAGTACTCTTTTGCAATATCTTCTGATTAGTTTTCACAGTTTACCTAAATTACTTTCATCGTGTCTGGATTAAGACTCAATCAGTTAGCTCTCCTCCATATCCAAATCTCAGCCAGGACTGGGTTAACTAGCTATTAAGAGTAGCTTGTTTGTGAAGTTCTAAGTCAGTCCAAGTGCTGTTGTAAAAGGTTCATTTTTCTTTCATACCTTTCTAAATACAATAAGAAAAAATTGATGTGAATATAAGTGTTCTAGAATTTATTGTTTGCTTCTGATTTCTTTTAGTCCAACTACTCTACATCCAAAACCCGGCCCTCTAGTACACTAGATCCTGAGCTGATGTTAAATCCAGAAATCTTGCCAAGGGCCAGCACTGTAGCTATGACAAAAGAGTACTCCTTCTTGCGGACCAGTGTCCCAAGGGGGCCAAAACTGGGCAGCCTGGGACTTCCAGCCCCTTCAAAAGAGAAAAGAAGCTCCAAATCTTCCAAGTCAAGTAATATCCGTTCCTTGGCTGATTACAGAACTGAAAATTCAGATCCTGGAAATGCTACTAGGAATTTTGAGACTGCTGATAAATCTGGTGGGTCTCTAAAGGAGAATAGAAGTGGTCTGACTTCTGTTGTATCTGAAATCAGTCTCCGTTCTGAAACAGATGACCGACTGGAGAATTCCTCCATAGCAGGAGACAGTGTTTCAGAGATTGACGGAAGCGATTTAGGAATAAGGCTGGATGGAAATGAGAGTGACAGCTCTACCTACAGCAGTGTGTCAGGAAGGGGGACGTATAGCATTTTACTGAATGCAGAAGGCAAACAGGGGATTTCATATACAGTAAATGGCCAGGAGATCCCTTCAGATGGAATGGGGCAATTTCCTTCCATCAGGGAAGTATTGCAGGCTGCAGCAGCAGAGCATCATGCCCAGGACCAGGAAGTTAATGGGGAAGTGCGGAGTCGGAGAGACAGTCTTTCTAGCAGGTAAGACAATACATTGCGCACAATACACACACTGCACTTCTTTGGCATAGGCAACCTGATGCTTTTATTACCAACTACAGCATTTTACGTATAACTAAACTTCTGTTCAGCATGATCAAATGTGTGATAACTAGTGAGTCCTAATAGAAATCACTGCACTGAATACATGTTTATTATAGGTATTTTTAGTTTATAGGAAGTGTCCCTGGTCAAGTGATTAAAACAAGGGCACTGTAGACATGTGTGTGCTTTGTCATCACGATTCTTAAATATAGTAGAATTTGATTGTGGTGTCCACTGCTTATAGCATCCACTGAGCCCTATACATCAAAAATGGCTTTCCAAAACTCATTTCCGGTTTGTGCTGGTGTGTTTGCCTATCCTGTGCACTAATCACTGGCCGTTTGGTTTTCAGTATCTGATTGAAGGGATTTCTTTGTTTTCATAGAGAGGAAAGAATTTTGCACCTTTCTGAGGACCACTTGGCTGAGACTAATAGTGTTACAATTTGTGGGAGTGCCAGTTAGAGCCAAATATAACCAGATTGGGAAATTTTGTTTTTTTACAATAGTGATCATTCAGATACAGTTTCCAGAACGGGTGTAGGTGCATGGCGAGGAGAGGGATTACTCAGGCATTACAAATTGAACAGTGAATGAGCAGAATTTTTAAGATAAGCATTTTTAATGGCCTAGGGAACACATTTACCTAAACTGTAATATTTCATATATTTGGAATTTCCTGTCATGATTCCATAGTCAGGTTTTTAAAAGTTCCTTACTTTCTTTTAAACTTATAGAAAGGCACCCTTTTGGTATCTCCATACGTAACTTAAAAATGCAGTAATACTATGTAAGTTTATCTACCACCAGTGACTAAGGCTATATCTACACTAGCACTTTTTGGGTAAAACTTTTGTCAGTCAGGGGTGTGAAAAAAATACACCCCTGACTGAAATAAGTTACACCGACAGAAATGCTGGTGTGGACAGCTCCGTCATCAGCATAGAGCGGCTACACGGGAGACCTGGCAGCAGTATAGCTGGGCTACTGTAAGTTTTCTAGTGTAGACATAGCCTTTAGGCAACTTACACTCAAATTGCCCTCCCCTCTAACAATTCCTTCCTCTACTTTTTTCAGGTGCCTAGAGCTTTGCTCTATGCCCTGAAGGTAGCTAGATTTGGACTTATTTTGGCCTGGAGGTAGGGGTTGGTGGGAGCAAATTCTAAAACAATAGGGCCTACATAGAGAATGCCCTGTTAGCAGCCCCCTCTTTCCATCTAAAGCTCTCTTTGGTCTCAGACTAGTTATGTATTACGTACCACAGAATTTCATTGGACTGCACTGATTTTTAAAAAAAATAAAATGATATATGATACTGTCTTAAGAAACAGTAGTGTGTTCTCTTTGGTCTCTTTATAGACTAGTGATCTGTGCAGAGAAATGTGTGGGTTTGTTTGTTTGTTTGCTTTCAGTCCTCTGTACTTGCAAGATGCCAGGATACTTGCCCTAGATACTCCTATCCTCTTTAGACCTTTAGAAGGGGATTAACTGTTAGATCCTCAGAAGTTTGTGTCTATGACACCTTAATTATGGTTTAATATCTATACCTTACAGGAGATCAAGGTTAGACTAGCAAGCGGAAAACTAGTCAAACTCACAATACTATTGTTGTCTAAAGATGCAGTTACCAAAACAACTTGTACAAATCTAGAAAATACAATTATTTGTCTTGTCTTTGGAAAAAATACAAACCTCTCAAAATTCTTAGCAAAATCAGTTGTCATTAGATAATCACAATCTATGCCTAATCCTGACAGGAGAGAAAGCAGAAGTTCTTGCCCATTTTCTCTGAACTTCATGGATATGCTGAGTAAACTATACTGGAGAAGGGGAATAGGGTATACTCCATGCTGAATAGCTTTTTTGGCTTTAGCTGTGACAACTATCCATTTATTTTCATGTTAAAATAGTTGTGTGTGGTTGGTGCATGTGAAAGGTGCTTGATCACAAAAATGTTTCCATTGAGATGTCTGTAAATCGCTTGGTAAAGGGATATTTAGTTTCTGAGGATAATAAAGTCAGCTCATTAGTTTCTTTCCTGGAAAACAAACATCAGTTCCATGATCTGCCCAGTTTTGGGGAATTCAGATAGCTCCCAATCCAGTGTTTTGTGCATAGCAGCTATTTTTCTGTCTGTCAGCTGGCAAGTGAAATTTGTTTAGTTCTTTGTGGTGAGTCTTTCACAAAGCTAAAAAGACTGCCCAAAACTCTAGCTCATTTAGAACTGAGTTATTTAGTGGAGTTGGAACATCTTGTAATTTCAGCTTCACTGCTCTATAAATGGGTGATTTATAAAAAATCCTAACTCTTTAAATGTGTGTTGTTTCTGCCTCCAGTGTGTCTATGGAAAGCTCTATCACAGGAACTCATGATGAAATGTTGCAGGTCCTAAAAGAAAAGATGAGACTTGAAGGACAGCTTGAAGCACTGTCATTAGAAGCTAATCAGGTAGAAAATTAATCTAAATTTCTGTATTTCATAAACTACAGTCATACACTAATTAAAATTTTAAAGTAGCTCCCACATTGTGTTTGCAGAGAGGTGGTTTTCATAAACATTGCATAAGATAGATAAAAAGGCTGTTTATTTTAAATAAAGCTTTTTAAATCTGAAGTTAAAAAAAAAACATACTGAAGTGGTCCACAAAAGAGAGAAAAAGGATTGTAAAGAAGTAGTAGTAAATATTGAGCCAGTGCTGGGCTCAACATATATTAAATATTTGTCCTTAAAGTGGGTGGCAGTTTCAGACTGGGAAATGGAATGAGAGAGAAGTTAAGGACAAGTGAGTGTCAAACAGTAGGCGACATCAGAGCAGAGGAATGATCACTTGCAAGCATAAGATGGGTATTTAAAGCAAGATTGAGACTGTCATTGTCTAGCAAGCTATCTTAAGTACCAAATACTTGTGTCAGTCTTTTCTTTAAGGATGCTGTCTAGTTTGTATGCACTTTTGTCTACATTTTTCCTGCATATTTGAGACATTTATTAAATACAGTGCAATTTTTTCTTATTTTACATGGAAATGTTATCCAGCGGAGCAAAATGTATTTTTGGAGCAGCTGACTCTTTTAGGCAGCATATTGATATCTCTACCTCTCTTGCTAATGCACTATGCGTATTAGTTTCTCCTAAAATTATTTTTTATTGTTTGGACTTGTTCAGGCCCTTAAAGAGAAGACCGAGCTGCAAGCCCAAATTGCAGCTTTGAACATGAGGCTTCAGGCTCAGGTGGAGCACTCCCAGAGCAGCCAACAGAAGCAGGATTCTTTGAGCTCAGAAGTGGCTACCTTAAAGCAATCTTGCTGGGATCTGGAACGAGCTATGGCTGACTTGCAGAACACCTTGGAAGCCAAGAATGCTAGCTTGGCTTCCTCAAATAATGACCTGCAACTGGCAGAGGAACAGTACCAAAGACTCATGGGAAAAGTTGAAGAGATGCAAAAAAATGTTCTCAGCAAGGATAACACAGGTGAGCTAATGTAAACTTGAATCTTGAAAACTTATCTTTTTTTCTGTTCCACAAACCATTTCATTAAATCTTACTTCTTGTGTGCACTATCAATTACTGATGTAACTACCTTGCAAACAAGAAAGTGATTAACCTGTTGTGTATCATGATGCTGCCTACAGGGTCTTACTGTATAGTATTTCCATTTTAAGACAAGGAAGAAACTGGTTTCCAGTTAGGTACATTCAGCATTAAAAAGGGAGAAATTAGTAACTTGTATTTTATTGATATCAGATTCTTAGACCAGATGCAAAGGAAGGCACAGTCAGAGTCTGCAGTCTAAAAATTGTTTGACAATTCATTAACAAAAAGATAAATATATTTTGGTTAGCATCAAGTATCCTTTCCATCTCCCAGACATGTGCATGCTCCCAAATCTTACTTCTTTCCACCCTTCTTTATGCTTCTAAGGAACCTCGATCATGCAAAGAACTGCCCTCAAAAGCCGTTTTCTTTAATGACCCTAATTCTGTGGGTCCTGGAATTGTGGGAATGGATGTTCTTTGTTATATAGGCACACTTCCATTAAAAAGATGACTGTGGACATATATGTTTAAGGTTCATTGCTACACTTAAAACCATCAAAAATTGGACATTGGAATAGCATAGTCTAATTTTTCCCCCCTTTTTAGTACACAGTCTGCGACAGCAAATGGCTTCCTTACAGAACCAGCTTCAGCAGGTGCAGTTAGAACGGACCACGTTGACCAATAAGCTAAAAGCATCTCAAGCAGAGATCGTATTGCTGCAAAATGTGCGGCAGTGGTACCAGCAGCAATTGGCAGTGGCACAGGAGGCACGTGTTAGACTACAGAGTGAGATGGCCAATATACAGGTAAATGTGTGAACTTTCCACATCCTCACTGCTTTCTTTCTTACGTTAGCTTTAGCCAGCAGATAAATTCTTTTCAGACTTTTAAGGAGGGACCAATCTCGTTTCTGTATTTATGTAAGGTGCATGATTAGCTCTGTCCCTTTTACCTGTCATCATTAGGTGTTACTTCCTGTCTAACACTGAGGCATAAACTTAACCAATGCACTTTCTGAAAAGCTTATTAAGCTTTCTCATGGATGTAGATCTGTAAAGCCATTAGGTGACAGCTAAGGCCCAATAGACTGAGTCCTCTTCTCTGGAACTTTTTCATTGTCAACCCATGTTTTGAGTATTTGTATGGACTTTTTCTTCCTGCAGGCTGGGCAAATGACCCAAGCAGGTATGTTGGAGCACCTCAAACTAGAGAACGTATCATTGTCTCATCAGCTAACAGAGACCCAGCACAGATCCATCAAAGAAAAGGAACGTATTGCAGCACAGCTGCAAAATATTGAGGTAAGGTAATTTGCAGGTGGCCTGTCTGAATTGTGTTCTGTTGTTCAAGTTTTATATTCCAGTTTAGTGATCACCATGTTTTCAGATACAGGAAGAGGGTATTTACACTGGTAGAAATGACTTCACTATGAGTACGTTCAAATTGCTGTATATCTTACATGATCAAAGAGCCTTTTCAGATTTACATCCCCAGAAGGCAAGTGTTACTCCTTCAAATTTTAAAACTACATGAAGAATCTTGCTAGTTAAAAAGGAAACTGTCAACCTCTCTAGGTCACAAACTTACCTACATAAAGAGACCCTGTTGACAGGCCTAAATGTAACTCCCTCTGATTAAAGTAAAATGGAGCATTACAGACTGGGACCTGGAGTCTCAGAGGCCCACTTTTACATCTGAGATTAGCCCAGCCATGAAACACATTGGAAAACTTAATGAACCACACTTCGGCCACCCTGTTGTAAACAATATACATGCGGGGGATGTGGATCTGAATTATTTGCAGCTGATAAATTCTACTGAGTCTTGAATCCTCATTTTTGCACTCTGATATTACTAAATACACCTTTACCTTGATATAACGCTGTCCTCAGGAGCCAAAAAATCTTACCGCGTTATAGGTGAAACTGCGTTATATCGATCTTGCTTTGATCCACCGGAGTGCGCAGCCCCGCCCACCCGGAGCGCTGCTTTACCGCGTTATATCCAAATTCATGTTATATCGGGTCATGTTATATCGGGGTAGAGGTGTATTGGGAAACCCAGTTAATATTGTGGATGATCTAAAACATCTTACTCATTTTAGTGTTGGTTAATAGTTCAAGAATGTCATCCAAAAACAAAGGCTGGTGGCAAAGATTTGTATTTGCTATTGCAGAGTAATACTTGTTGTTTTTAAATAGAGGGATGGGGAACTTAAACAAAATTGGTAATATCCTTAAAGGGCTCTCTGTGAAAATCTCTTATACCCCAGGCTTATCCTTCCTGTCCTCTAGCAGAAAAGATTAATAAAATTTTCAAAAGTACCTAGGTAACTTACACTCCTAAATCCTGTTTTCAGAAAGGACTTAGGAACCTAAGTCCCATTGAATCTCAATGAGATTCGGACGCAAGTCACTGAAGTTCTTCTGAAAATTTTATGCTGGGACTGCAGAAATGTTTGGTCTTCCCTTCTGTAATAGCCTATCAATTTTTTTAAAAATGAAAAGCACTTAGCCAGAATTCAGTCTCTTATGGATGGGCAAGATGCACCATAGTCATTCCAAGGGGTGTGTCCTAGAAGCCCAGTACAGTAATCGTCAAATACTGAGTGGATAACTTCACTGAGGGCTTCAGGAGTGTAATACAATGAATTGAATTATGTTTTCCTATTTTGTTCTCCAATATTTTTTCTGTATTTTTTTTTTTTTTAAATCCATTTCATCTGATATTTTTACCATTTTCCTACTTCCTGCTTTTTCTGTGCAGGCTGACATGTTAGATCAAGAAGCTGCATTTGTACAGATCCAGGAGGCTAAAACCATGGTGGAAGACGACCTGCAGAGAAGGCTGGAGGAGTTTGAGGATGAGAGAGAACAACTGCAGAAAATGGCTGATTCTGCAGGAACACTGGAACAAGAACTGGAACAGGTAGACTTGATTACTGGATAGTTTCCCAAGGGCTTCCTGGAGAACACTTAAGCTGAAAAGCTAATACATGGATTTTCAGTTAACCATGTTTAAAGTGACGGAAAGATTACTCTAAAAATGGCATGGAAAGATAAGCATGTTGTGTGTCTCATTGAATTCCAGCTCAAACTTGCTGAGTTACTTGTAAAAAGAGTCCACTTCTACCCACCAGTCCTTCAAACTCCTTCAAACTGGGATCAGAAAGTTAAACCATTATCTTTCTGGCTTGTGCATCCTTAACAATAATAAAGATTTGGCAATCGGAGCAGAGTTAGAAATTCTTTTGATGTGTGAACTAGAATAGAATTGAGCTTCCTCTCTCGATGATTGTAGTTCTGCAGTGCCAGAAGAACTAAATAATAGTAGACGTTAGATGTGCCAGTGAATTCTGCAGATAATAATTCTGCATATACGCAAGGAGTGCATTTCTGTAGTTAAAAGTTGTCCTTTTAGATAGTCATTTTCCTGAGTGCAGCATCACTTTACACCAGTGTTTTGTAAAGGATTTCATTTTATGTTGCTGGAAGATGATGATGTGCAGGGGAATGGAATGAGGATCTGGTGCATGATAGAGCTCAATGTTATGACCAAAAAGGATATCTAAGGGTAATGGTATCTTAAGCAGAAGCTAACATGTTTATATGCACACTGAACACTTAATTTAAAATAGAAATTAAAAAGGTCATGAAGTAAAACATGTAGTCTTCTAGGATTGTCAGCCTGATCAATGTCTGCTCTCTAGCGTTCTAGCTGTTGCACAGAATGGCCCCAATATAATCAACACTGTGAATAGAGAGAATCAATGAAACCTAAGATTGCCTTCAACTTTCTTTACAGTTATTTTCTATTAGTGCCTCAAAGATACTAGGCTATTTTAATTTTTTTTTTAAGTACATTCTTAAATAAAAGTGTATTTTGTAGTTTTAAAATTCATCTGAGATGGATTAAATCTTTTCAAAACTATTTTTTTCTTCAGATGAAATTGACTCTGCATCAGCGAGATCTGCAGCTTGAATCTTTACAGCAGGAGCATCTAGTGCTCATGAAGCAGCTCACCTTAACCCAAGAAACATTGCACACCAAAGAGCAGTCCCTAAATGACCTACAGACTCAATATGATGAGCTGGTGGCCAGGTTAGAGGAATTCCAAGGTGATGTTATTTCCAAGGATGACACGATCCAATATTTGCAGAATGAGAAGATTGTCCTAGAGGTAGCTCTGCAGGCAGCAAAAGCAAACAAAGAAGAACTTGACGAAGGAGCAAAATGCTTAGGTGAAAGTACTGAGGCAGCATCAGAAATCTTGGCGCAATTGAGACAAGAAATAGCTATAAAGTCAAGCCAGGTAATGAATTTCTAAAATTATTCTGTTGCAAATAACAGATGTAAGTGTTGAGAATGAAAATAAATCTAGCTGTTTTACGACTATTCCCCAGCATTGAATATTGCTCATTTATTCTGTTTATATCAGTGGAATGTTTCTCATTTATTATTATTTTATATCTGGGTCTGTGTTTCTGGATTCATGAAGTTTGTACAACTGAGTTATTCTTGCATCTTAAGGATTTAATAAACTAGATTTGTTCTTTGCCAAGAGACAGATTCATGTCTGATATCAATTTTCAAAATTAATAGATTCATATTTATACAAAAAGTAATAAGTACACTTTTTGGAAATAGTATTTTTAATGCACTGTGTTCATGAGGCAATCTCAGCCAAAGAAAATTTCCTTATGCGTACAGTAAGGTTAGATTCTCTGTGGGCATTCCTTTTGGGAGAATTAATGGCTGCTTCTTAACTTAAAACATACTTGATCTCATTTTTGTCCATTACTGTATGCTGACAGTGGTTCAGACTTGTTTTTTTCCTGTACCAGTTTACCAGACCAAGTTTGCTGTCTACTCATGTTCTGTTGTGTGCGTTCTAATCCGCAATGGAGCTTCAACTAAACAAAACTCTATTCTCATAAGCAAGTTTGGACCCACAGTTTGTGTAGCGCATCCCAAACTTGAGAGCAAGACAGAGCATCTACATTTCTACTGGAGGCTTCTGCTGGGACAGGGTTCAAACAAGGTTCAACAAAGAACTAGATAAGTTCATGGAGGATAGGTCCATCAATGGCTATTAGCCAGGATGGGAAGAGATGGTGTCCCTAGCCTCTGTTTGTCAGAAGCTGGGAATGGCTGACAGAGGATGGATCACTTGATGATTACCTGTTCTGTCATTCCCTCTGAAGCACCTGGCATTGGGCACTGTCGGAAGACAGGATACTGGGCTAGATGGACCTTTGGTCTGACCCAATATGGCCATTCTTATGGGACCCAGCAAAGATTTCCCATTTAAGGTAGGGTAGGGGATTCTACAGTATTGGTCACAGAAGTCCAAAGTACCTCTGCTGGTACATGCAGTATGAAAACATTTTTGTAGCTCTATAAATTATGAAGCACCTGCTATTTATTTTGATTTTTTAACTTGAGCATGTAAACTTGAGAATCTGTCATCTGAATACACCATATAGAGTCTGATGTATTCTAAGACGTGCATGCCCAGATAATGGGAGATGCTGTGTCCTTGATGGTGGTGTTGGGAAGATTATCATTCTGAATCTGTCTCAACTATTTAGGTATAAAACAATTTTTATTATTTGCATTACGGTAGTGTCTGATGCCACAGTCAGGATCAGGGTCCTTGTTAGTCTAAGCACTATGCATATACATAACAAAAAGACAGTTCCTGCTCAGAGACTTTGTAATCCAAGTAAGGCAACATGTCTGCATTTTTCTCTAATAGGTGGAAAATCTGCAACAGGAAAGTGCCAGCCTGAAGAAACAGACCCAAAAAGTAAAGGAGCAGTTCCTACAGCAAAAGGTGGGTATAAATAGCCATTTCAAAATTGTATTCAAAATGAACAAAGATTGTGTGTTGCTGGGAAGGCATGTACTAATAGGTTAATGGCATCTTACTTCCTAATGAAAATGGTGTTATTTAACTGACAGGCCATTATAGCAAATAGAAGGAATGTTGTGTAACAATTCATTATGTGAGGTATATTTCTGTAGGTTATACATTGATTTTTTTTTAAAACTGTAATTGACATAAAAGCAGACAGGTAGGCCAAATCATGTTCCCATTAAAGTCTGGGAAGCTTGTCACATGGACTTCATTTGGCCTACAAGTTGTTAAGATTTCTCTAGTTCATTTGTACTAGGTGACAGCTTTTTCAACAATATTCATTTTTATAAAAAAAATTGGGTAACTCTTCAAGTATCTTAAATTTAATGCAACTGTATGAAATTCTGTTGGCCTGGGGAATTTTAATTTAAAAGAAATAATTTGTTTTACTCCAAATCTTGTTTGGAATGATATAGAATATGATACTAATTTTAAACTAAAGATGTACCAGGACTTCAGATATTCCCTATAGTGGCACTGTTGACTGTTACCATTTGCTTGCCTATTAGTCCAACAATTATTTTAGAAATTGTGCCCTGGTGGATATCTGTCTGATTCTGACATGTGCACTAGGTAATGGTGGAAGCTTATCGAAGAGATGCAAGTTCAAAGGACCAGCTGATTAGTGAATTGAAATCTACAAAGAAGCGTCTGGATTCGGAAGTGAAAGAATTAAAACGGGAGCTACTGAAACTTCAAGGTGAAAAGCAATCCATTGATGTTGAACGCTCAAGACTTCAGAAGGAAGTATCCCAGGTTCACCAGCAGATGGTGGAGTTAGAAAGCCACCTCCAGTCAGTGCAAAAAGAACGGGATGACATGGAGATACAGCTACAGGTGAGGAGTAAATCTAGTGCAGTTATATCAAGGATAACACACATTTGAGCTGCAGCTAATCCTATTAATTATTGAGGTGTTTCAGTTAGGAGTAATCTTTTAAACTAAGATTACCAAATATATATTGAAGGCAGTTGTATGTTACTTACTTTTGATGGTTAAACTGAATGATGATGTATTGCTATGTACTGGTACTATATTAATCCATATTGAAGTCATGGAGTTACACTGATTTTATACCAGTAATAGAGTGGAGAATTAGGCTGCAGGTGTGGTAGAGATGTGCTGTGGAGGCAACACTCTTAGCTCCCAGAGACAACTCTGGGAGCTAAGAGTGTCTTATTTTGCTCAACAACAATCTTCATGTTAGGGAAGGGGATGGGGAAGGCGACTGTTTGGTACATGGAAAGAAACATCCTTCCCCTTTCACCCCCAATCCTTGTATATAGAAAAGGAAATAGTTTTGAAAATTACCACATTACTTTGTTGTTGATATATTAAACTAAACCTTACCATAAACTGGTTGCCAAATAGATACAAAAGTAGTCCTGTTTTAACATTCTGATAGTGTGTGTGTGTGTGTGTGTGTTTGTGCGCGTGCATATGGCAAACTGGAATGAGGCTTTCTTTTGTGCTTACCGAATGTTCTCCTTTTTTTTATTCTTCCTCCCTCGCCTTTTTTTCCTCCTCAAGTCTTTGCAGATTGATAAAGAACAAATGACATCTCTTGCTGAGGTGAATGAGGTATTAAAACTACAGGTAGAACAAATGCAAGAGGAAGCCAAAAAGTAAGTCAGCTTTTTACATAGCCAGAATAATAGTAGCACTCACTATTCCTAGTGTGCTTTTTTTACTTCAGTGTGCTGTACAAAAATTACTGTTTAGTTTTTTCCCTACCCTTGAAGGACAGCTGTATTTCCATTTTACAGCTGGATAAACTACTTAACATCTGTGCCTCAATGTAGCCTGAACACGGAAGTTGTTGGTAGGACAGGAACTCATGAGTTTGGTATATATCGAAACAGTTGCCACACAGATGGAAACATTAATAAATCTTATTTTTTAACAATACCGCCTTTCATAAGCACTAAATTGAAAACCACAAATATTAAGTGTTACCGTGGCGGTAGATGTGATGGGAATGAGATGGAAGTAGACATATGTAAGTGGATATTGGGAAGGAGACAGGGAGCAGTACTATAGGATCCACCACTGCAAAAGTACAGTGCAGCCCTACACAAAAGTGAGTTTGACAAACAAGGAGAAGCTCTCATGCTAGAAGTTAAACTCAGGAGTAGTTTTCCATTTCATTTACACGTGTCTACAGCAATGCTGCCCAAGTCTACAGCAATGCACTCTCTTGTTGCTGATGCACAAGAACTGTGGCATCGCCAAGGACTAACTATCAAATCAGAAAATGGCTTTCTGCAATTAATATACTAATTTTGTGGAGTGAACAACTTGGTATTGTCCCTTAATATTTGAAAAACATGGTTTATGTGCTAAGCAATTCTTTAGTTGTTCTGATATCATCAGTTTATTTGATTTTATGGAACTTTGGGAATAAATAGCTTCTTTGGGAATCAGTATCGTGCTATGACCTCTCAATAGAGTTTTGTTAATCTAAAAGTTTAATTGTTCAATACAGTTTTTAGGGAGTTCTCTTTGTGCTTTCTCATTCTAGGGCCATCACCGAACAGAAACAAAAAATGAAGCGTCTGGGGTCAGATTTGACCAGTGCACAGAAAGAGATGAAGGCAAAACACAAAGCCTATGAGAATGCAGTTGGCATTCTTAGCCGCCGGCTGCAGGAAGCCCTCACTGCAAAGGAATCTTCTGAAGTGGAGCTGAGCAAACTAAAAGCACAAATCGCTGATGGAGGAAATAACCAGGCTTCCCATGTAGGATGATGTCCTGTAACTTTTTGTTAGTAGAGAGTTAGGATTCTTGCATACTACTAAATACTTAAAGACATGACCTTACCTATAGGTTCATTTATCCTAGAGAGAAAAATTTTGGTAATGAGATGATCATCTCTGGGCAGGATTGTATTTTACAGGGTTTTACCTTCTACTGAAAACACTGCAAGTTTTTCTGTGTATCTATATTAATTTATACCAACAACAAAGCTTCATTCTTGTAGCCAGCTGTGAAATCTCCTTTCAGGACTTAAAAAGTTAATAACTATGGTACTTTTCAAACTATAATAAACTAGAAGCTTGCCCTTTAACATGCATTTAAATCTGTAGTAAAGATTCCATATGCTACTTATCAGTCATAGGGGAATTCACTTAATGTGTGCCTTGATTTATTATTTACCGCAGAAGTGGTTTTCTTTAAATTATTATTTAAATATTGTGAAGATACTGCCAGTGTCCAATTTCCAGACCTATAGTCCATGTGCCAGTGTCTCAAACTGTGAGAGAATTTCCTTATCAAAAATAAGGAATATGTTTTGGCAATCTCCGAATATATGAGTAAAATAAACAGCCAACCCGCAGTTATAGCTACACTTCAGAAGGAGTGTCAGCCTTAGCCCTGAATTCCTGTTAATGTTTCTGTTATTTAAGTGCAGGTTTTCAGTATTTTCTTCTTGTACTGAAATATCATGAAGTTTTTTTTTACTTATTAACTAATAGTTTCTTCTTTGTTTGCACCAAACACTCTGTCCTCCTTCAAATCCCTCCTTAAATCCAACTATTTCCCCATAGCTTTTAAATGCTAAAGCTCTTTTTTGATGTTGTGTGAAGAATTCTGTTCTCTTATTGTGTATATTGTGTCTGTCAGTGAAAGAATGCGAGCTTCTCAAGGCAGAGATGTGACTTTTTATATGATTTATATTGCAAAAAGAGTAATTTCCATTGTAGCAAAATATGAATGTTAAATGTAGTAAGTTTTTGTTTGTTTGTTTGTTTTTTCTGACCCAAAATGTTGTCCATTAAACATAATAAGCACTTTAAACTTCTACCTGTTGGAGGAATAAATTTGTTAAAAAGAACAGTTGCTTCTGCAAAACAAGTGTTTTACTAAGTAGGCTTCTGATGTCTTTGTCTTTAGGAAAGGATTCAAGCTCTGGAGACAGAGCTGCAGGCTGTTAGCCACAGTAAGATGATGTTGGAGAAAGAGCTGCAAGAAGTAATTTCACTCACCAGCCAGGAGCTTGAGGAGTACAGGGAAAAAGTGATTGAACTTGAGGATGAGGTAATTGCCTGAGCTTTCCTGGCAGACAGGGAGGTTCAGTGTACAGCCCAGAGGGCAAAAGAGGATTTGGGACTGAACTGTTCAAATAAAATGAAAGTATGTTATAATCTTACAAAGGGAAGATTGTGTCCACCACACTTGCTACTTTTGCTGCAAGCTGCCAACTCCTCATGGTTTTATTGGGCCCTTATCATTAATAGTAGGATTTATTCAATGGTATTTTTAGTAAAAGTCATGGACAGGTCACGGGCAATAAACAAAAATTCACAGCCCATGACCTGTCCTTGACTTATATTATAAATACACCTAACTAAATCTTGGGGGGTGGGGACACCCCAGAGGCCATTGCTGGGGGAGCCCAGGCCGGGAGGGGGCGGGGGGGAGTTGCTGCTGATGGGGGTTGGGGCCACCGGCACCAGTTGCCTGGGGCCGCCAAGCAGCGGCTGCTCCGGCCGCCTCAGACTACTGCTCAGGCAGTCCCCTGGGGCCAGCCGCACCAGCCACTGCTCAGGCGGTCCTCAGGCTAGCTGCCTGGGGACTGCCTGAGCAGCAGCCGGTGCAGCTGGCCCCAGGGCCGCTCCAGCCGCGGTCAGTGCGGCTGACTGCCGGGCCGCCCCAGGGACTGGCTGCAGAACCATTCCAGCAGCGGCTGGTGTGACTGTCCCCGGGGCCACTTGAGCAGTTGGCCCTGGAGCCAGCTGCTTGGGCAGCCCTAGGGTCAGCCACACTGGCTGCTGCAGAAGTCGTGGAGGTCGTAGAACCGCAACCTCCGTGACAAACATGGAGCCCTACTTATAATACAGGGAAAAAAAGAGTAGGGGTGAAAGAAAAGAAGCTCCTACATGAAAGAGACCAACTAAGCCTGGTCAAGAGATGCTGAGTACCCAGGACTCCCATTAATTCACAGTTGCAATTCTAAGGTGGCACTAGAAATATGCAGGATTGACCTCTCTACCATCAGTAGCTCATCCCTTCTTTTCTTCTCCTATGGATAGTAGTTATGCCCTCTACTTCTAGCCAGCATTTTAATCTCCTGAAGAAAATCAGAATAAGAATCTGGTTGAACTAAATTTTAGAAGCATCTATTGTGAAAGTTGGAAAATTTAACATCATATGCACAAAGCAATCATCATGTTTGATGAGTCTACCTCACAACTGATTATGGCAATAATATTGTGATTTTATTTTTTTTGGTTGCAGCTTCAGGAATCTAGAGGTTTCAGGAGGAAGATAAAACGTTTAGAAGAAATAAACAAGAAGTTGGCCCTCGAACTGGAACATGAACGAGGGAAGCTCACTGGTCTTGGTCAGTCTAACACTGCTTTGCGGGAGCACAACAAGATCCTAGAAACAGCACTAGCAAAAAGAGAGGCAGACCTGGTACAGCTGAATCTCCAGGTATTCAAAAGCATTTGACTTTTTGATGTGGCATTTTTTAGAAGAGAAGGCTAATATTCTTCTGATTGCAGAAGGTACAGGGACTGGATTATGTCTGTAGATTTTCATTCAAAACACGTGTTTAAAGAAATGGTGTGCTGTCTCCAGGTCCCGGTCTCATGTAGCTTACATTAGAATAATAATATAGGTATGGGAGACATGTCATTAAAAAAAAATTCCTGCTGGGTTAAATTAAGAACTTTCTCAATGAAAACATTAACAAAAATTTGCAAAAATGAAAGTGGCAAATTTAATACAGCTCTTGTTAACATATACCTTGTACCACATAAAGATCTGATATCATTGTTGATGTTCTTACTAATTTTAATATTTATGTCAATATAGCACCTTCCCTCCCCCCCCCCCATCTCCAATCTGCATTCACCATCACTGAAATATAGCCATTTCAGGGGTGAGAGAGCAGTGTGCAGTGAGAGTGAATAGCAGTAATGGGAGGGGAAGTTTTGCCAAGGATTCTCAGGCAAACTCTTACTCTTTCATAGGTGCCATGGGCTCTTTAAAATGTGCAGAAAAGATCCACATACCTAATAAATTTCATGTTACTTACTTCCTTTGGAAGGTTTTGTGGCATTTTTTGTTTCTGAAAAGTAGGTCCTGTCTGCACCCTACTGTATTGAATTCTGAAAGTTAAATAACTCAACATTTGTAATTCTCCACCACCTCCAACGGGGGAGTTGGGGTGGAGGGACCTTCCTCCATCTCTGTTGGAACTTTGAGAATTCCCATGTTTTCCTCGTTCCCCAGTGCCCTTGAGACTCTGTCATGACAACAGTTCTTCCATCCGAGGGAGTCAACTTAAAAGCATCATTAGACTCTCAAGGCTATGCAAGTTGTGCAAGGAGGGGCACTGACCCCCTCACTAGATAAGGCATGTCTCTACAGTGCACCCAGATCTAGGTCCGGGTGGGAGGGGAGTTGACCCAAAGTGTTTGAATGAATGATTAAAATTATACCTAAAAACAAGAATAATATTTTATTCAAAGCCAGCCTTTTAATAACCCTAAACCTTCTTTTTGTAAAAAATAGTTAACACTTCATGTCTTACACACAACTGCATGCAAATGAACAATACTTCACTAGTCAGAATAGGTACTACTGCCTTTTTTTCCCCTCTACCCCCATCCCCCTGCCCCAAATCTTCTGGACATTGTGCACAGACCCTGTGTTGTGCCATTGAACCTCTGGTTTTGTGATACCATAGGTTCAAGCAGTCCTAAAGCGTAAAGAGGAGGAGGATCAGCAAATGAAACAACTTATTCAAGCCTTACAGACTGCCTTAGAAAGAGAAAAGTCAAAAGTTAATAACCTTAAAGAGCAGGTAAGGGCTCGGATTCTGCTTTATTACTTCATAGGTGATTTAAATACAAAATATTGAATAAGTAGCAAATTCTGTTTTGTGTGCGCGTGTCTCACCCATGTATCATCTCTACCTTTTTATAATCCTGTAATACTGGTCAGATGAAGAGAAGCTGTCTGTTTTGCATCTGTAGGTTGCGGCAGCCAAAGTAGATGCAGCACATAACCGTCGTCATTATAGAGCTGCTGTTCTTGAGCTGAGCGAAATTAAGAAAGAGCTACAAGCCAAAGAACTGCTTGTCCAAGCCCTTCAGGCTGAAGCAGACAAACTACAGTAAGTACACAATAACATATACTACACACTAAGTTTCTTAGAACAAGGTGAATAAAATGGTTGCAATCTATTAAGAAATCTAAGAACTACTTATGTATTTGAATTTTTGGCTTTGGCCCTCTGTGTGGAATTAGTCCTGTCTGAGTCTTATCACTTGCCACAAGTGTGCACTGCTTGCAAAAACGTGTCTATTTTCTGTCTCATGATTCTTTTACTATATCTGGGGTACACCTTCTTCAGACCATTTCACTTGCACTTCTTACAGTTTTGATACAGATGAACCCTGCTTCATAGACTAGATGAGCTTAACACTCTACTCAATATCTTGACTCTGTTGCACAGCCCTGAGACCTTAATTGCAGGATGACCTTGATAAGCAAATGAGGCTTCAGCTGACTATCCACTTTCTTGGTATATACTAAATTGTTTTGTTATGTGGGAATTTGAACTGGCTGCTTGCTGTTGAACATACTGGTTATTCCATCATGTTCCAGTGTCTTCAGTGGAACAACCTTAGAATGCAGGATGTGAAAATTTGAAGTACAAGACCTCAGTGAAGCTGCTAACAGGATTTTGAGCTCTTCGGAATAATGCTTTTTTTTAAAATGTCAAATAACTTCCTTAAGGCTAAGCACACGTCGTACTTCTTTAACTATACCAGTATAGGTCCATCCACTGTGGATGGAATAGTTTATTCCAATGTGAGAAGGGGAATAAGCTATGCCAGTATAAGCACTTTTATACAGGTATAACTGTGACCATGTTAAGAGTTGTACCCATATAACTATTTTGGTAAGAAATCACACCCCAGCTGAAATAGATATACCAGTACAAAAACTGTGGGTAGACCAGGCCTATTCCTCCCTCCACCATAGAATTAACTTGTCATCTCACAGCCTCAGTCCTGCAGATAACACTGACATCAATGCCAGAATGGATCAATATGGGAAACTGCTTCTTTTAAAATATCCTACTAACAGCTTTCCCTTCATATGAAATATTATCAGCCATCAAGACATTTGTCAAGAAGTACAGTATGTAGCTATATAACAATATATGTATCTTATTGAAATTCTGTCTTTTGGCTAAAATCCAAAAGTGAGCATATAGACAAAGCCTGTCAAAAAATAGTTCACCAGACTTTGTTTAATAAAATTAGCAGCAAACTATTTTGTGCCTCAAGCTGATAATCTATATCACGTACTGTTAAATATTTCATCTTATTAGCCATATCTGTTATATTATAAAGAGATAAAAGTACAGATAATGGCAATTTTGAGGTTTTCTGCCACTTCCATTCTAGGGTTGAGGATGGGAAACATTCTCAAGAAGTATCTCAGTTCCAGCAAGAGTTGGCAGAAGCCCGGTCTCAACTCCAGCTTCTACAGAAACAGCTGGATGAACAACTTAGCAAACAGCCTGTAGAAAACCAAGAGGTAAAATCTTCTAGTTAATTCCTTACTCCCATACTACATATGTCTTATTCAGGAGCATGAAACAGGTGGTTTAATTCACACCTCAGTCGGCAATTTTTGTATGATTTTGTTTTAATCAGCAGTCTAAAAAGTGGGAGATGTTTGCAACAAATAAGTAACAATTAAAATACTCATCAAATTTGTGATTGATTGCTCCTGTAGTGAATTTTAAGGTACTTTCCTCCCTCCCCCCCCCGCCCCCCTAGGTTGAAGACCTCAAATGGGAGGTGGAGCAGAAGGAGAGAGAAATACAAACGATGAAGCACCAGTTGGATATGACTGAGCAACGCAGTCAAAAGGAGTTAGAAGGAATACAGCTAGTATTACAGGTACTTGATCTGGCCTGTATGACTCTGATAGACAGGTGTTTTCATTGAAGAGTAAATCTACAATAGGGGAGGAGATACTTAGTAGGATAACACTTAGAGGGATACTATAAGCTTAAAAAGTAAACTACTGTACCAGTGTTGCATATAAAACTGTAGATGATTAAAACTGAGAGACTTTTTGAGTTTTATTTCATTATTGTGTTTGCTTTTTGTACTGAAACAAGCTTGGACAATCAGCATAGGCTAGTCATATATTTCTAATTGGCGTCACTTTCTGGTTCTTCTGCATGAACACAATGCTGTGCCCAGTTTGCAAATAATAGCAATGGAGTGTGGTGTAGGGGGGCGGTAATTACTATTGAAATTAAAGAAACGATGGAAATATTTCTGTTGGGTCTTGTCAAAACTTACTTTTTACAAAACCTAAATCTAAACTTCACTTGACAGTGCCCCTTCAAGAAACTTTGCACTGGGGAATTATCGAACAAATCACTCGATAGGAATAGGTACTGTAGGACTTATAGATCATAGTTTAAATGATACTAGTATCTATCACTGCAAGGAGGAGCAAGAATATGCTGTTTAAATAAGTTGTCCTACAACACACTTTCAAAAGATAATACATTGAATTAAATGTTTCTGGCTTATATTGGTGGCATATCCTAAACTGGCATCTGACTTTAGAATTTAGCAAGTAATTGAAATATTTAAACTAGTAGAATATATAAAACCTCTAGAGCCATTCAGCTTGCAGTTTAATGGTTTTTAGCAGTTAAAATATGAACACTATACTAATAAGCTGGAATTTTCCACTTTAGACTGTTTCCCTCACATTGTTTTTAAGCTTCTTTAACAGTTAATTTTTCATTCTTTAGAATATCAAGACCGAGTTGGAGATGGTGCGGGAAGATCTGTCAATGACTCAGAAGGACAAGTTCATGCTTCAGGCTAAAGTGACTGAATTGAAGAACAGCATGAAGACATTGCTGCAGCAGAATCAGCAGCTGAAGACAGACCTGAAACATGGCAAGATGAAGAAGGTATTTAAGTAGGAAAAATACTTTATTTTAAAATAATTGGAATGTGACATGGGAACAAAGTTTTCTGTAGCATAACTTCATGAGAACCCTGATACAACCATAATGTCAGAATTACACGTGGTGATCAGTGGTTTTCTTATTTTTTAAATAGTAATTCCTGGGGGATTTGCTGGTTTGTAAACAGGGAGTTCACTTCTCTTTCAGCAGAATATCTTTCTTTCTGTGTATTGAAGCAACACGTTGTATTCACATGTTGATTCAATGCAACAAACCAAAAAAGGAGAGAGAGAAATAATAAATGGTGGGCAAATTTTCATTCCTTTGATAATCCCTTAAAAGGGCACATGCTTATGCAGTCTGTTCAAGTCCTTTCTGGTCTCTTTCACTCATATTTTCAACAGTTAATGGCTTCTTCACTAGTTCTCATATTTAATACTTATGAAGAAAGGTACTGTAGCAGTGATTCTCTCTCTTTTTATTTCTGCTGACTACTTAGTAAGAGAATCTTTCATGGACCAACTCCCCTTCCAATCTCCCAGTATTTGATTATCAAAATATTTCACCTTGAGAACAGCAGGAAGGGTTTTGCAGATCACTGGTGATCCACTGATTACAGGTTGAGAATCAATCCCATCAGCCTAGCCCAAAATGCCTATGCCAGTATTTTGTCTGAACTGTTGAGTAACTCCCCTCCCCCCCCCCCCACATTATAGTTAAACTTACCACAGAGGACCACGGCAATTAATTTAACTCCATACTGTCTCAGTTGCCTATTCATTGGTCCCTTAATAGTATGAAATCTTGACTAGAGACTGTCCCTCTTATCTAGTATATAGAACTGAAGAACTTTTGACTCCACCTCACCTACCTGTCTAGAATATATTTGTTTACCCACAAGTATGACTGACAAACTAGACTGGTTCAGTCTGTTATGTAGCTGAGCCTACTCTTCGAGTAACCTTCTATTATCATCTGAACTCTGACCATCATGCAAGTATGTAGATATGGAGCAGGATTTAACACTGTTCCTCTGTGGCAAGAGTGACATCGAGAAACGTGTTTTTATTCTGTTTCTGTTTGGGTTTTTTGTTTTTTCCTTTAAACAGAAGAAGGAACTGAAGGGAGAGACTAATTCTTCAAATCCGGTGACTCCAGTGAAGATTCCTGACTGTCCAGTCCCTGCTGCGCTGCTAGAAGAGCTATTGAAACCACCAACAGCTGTGAGCAAGGAGCCTTTAAAAAACCTGAACAGCTGTCTCCGCCAACTAAAGTATGACGTCTTTTTTTTTTAAACCACGTTATTTAGTATTAAAAATATTTTTTAAAGTCTGCCACTAGTCTGCATCTGGAAGGTGACCCTTGTGTTAGTTTTATCTTTGATGTGCTGCCTGGATTCCTGTCTGCTATAGAATGTTCATTAAACGTTTTCATTTTTGTAGCAATTTTCATATCTCACCCTACAAAACTCCCAAGTGAGCTGTATTGCTAAGGCTTGGTCTACACTAAACCCCCAAATCGAACTAAGGTACGCAACTTCAGCTACGCGAATAACGTAGCTGAAGTCGACGTACCTTAGTTCGAACTTACCGCCGTCCACACGCGGCAGGCAGGCTCCCCCGTCGACTCCGCGTACTCCTCGCGGCGAGCAGGATTACCGGAGTCGACGGGGAGCACTTCTGAGTTCGATTTATCGCGTCCAGACAAGACGCGATAAATCGAACCCAGAAGTTCGATTGCCTGCCGCCGAACCAGCGCGGTAAGTATAGACAAGCCCTAAGAGAGCTACACTCCCTCCCTATCCAAAGCAGATTCTGGGATGGCAGGTTGATTGAGTGTGCTAAGGTTTTTGTCTGTTCCTTATTCTCTATTGCTTTCTGCCCCTTCTTCTTCCACTTTATTTATTTATTCCAGCATTATTTGCTCTCCAGCATATCAGTATGTTAGTATAATGTACATCCAAGTTGCTGTCACCCAGCTGCTTGGGAAGGTTAAATGCCTCCACTGAGGTTACAGTTCTGCTTCATGCCTGACCAGGGGGGATGTATGGAAAAGAGCACACTGCAATGTTGCTCTCTCTCTTTGGACTAAGTGTATCCTCTCCATGTTGCTCCTCCAGCCCAGGGATTAAGAATCCTGCGTTTCTTGGAGACTTAGGCAATGTCTACAGTTAAAACACCGCAGCTGCACTGCTGTCGTGCTTCAGTGTCACTACAGCAACGGGAGGGGTGCTCTCCCATCACTATGGTTAATCCACCTCCCTGAGAGGCAGTAGCTAGGTTGATGGGAAAATTCTTCTGTTGACCTAGTGTTGTTTACACCAGGGGTTAGATTGGCTTAACTCATGTCTTTTAGAGATGTGAAAAATCCACATCTCTGAGACATTAGCTATGCAGTGTAAGTTTTCAGCATAGACTGACTCTCAGTTCCCATATATAAGTGCATTGTGTTTCTATTATGCTTCAGGTAATTTTGGGTAGATATCAAACTTCAGAAATGATTGAAATGAATCAATCATGCCCTTTTTTTTTTTGGTGACTAACTTTCAACTGATATTTCCGCTGTCTCTCCCACCATTTTCAAAAGGCAAGAAATGGACAGCCTTCAGCGTCAGATGGAGGAACACACCATAACAGTACATGAATCAATGTCTTCATGGACTCAGATCGAAGGGCAATTAATGGACCTAACTTCTACCTGTCCTGCAACAGCATCAGGCGAGCAGGAAATTCCTGCTGTGGACATAAAAGAACAGAATCGCAATGCTGGTGACAAAGAAGCGTTGAAACAATGACCATTGTTTTTCATCACAACTGCTTTAAGCGTGTACAGGAATCTTTATCATTATTTGTTTCAGTGGATTTCTTTGTTAAAGGCAAAAGCAGAGCAAATGAATGGTTTCAAGGAATCAGTAAAACATTCATTGCAGACCATGCTGTATTAAGGTTTCCTGTGAGGGATGGTTTCATCTCACTGAAGTAGTGAAATCCATGTTGGGGACAGATGATAAATTTGGCCCATTTATGAGTCTAGGCAGAAATTCAGAGGAAGGGTTAAAAAAATCTGAATTATTACAGAGAGAGGCCAAGAAGACAGTGTATGATTCTGGATCTGGATTTGTTTAATTTAGTTAAGGAATCACTGTAATCTTGCAACATCAGATTATCTCAATTTTTTCACCATCTTGGGCTGCATCCAAATCGTATCTGGAAAAGTAAGTCTTTTTCCAGTTCCAACCATAGGCACTGGGTCAGGCTTGGGAATCTGAATCCAAAACCTCCACCCTCTTGAATTCAGGCTGTAGGTGTCCGGATTTCAGATTTTGGTTCAAGCCTGTCTCTAGTTATGACAAGCACCATTGCCCTATATTAAAAGAAATGGACTATGAAAGTTGGTCAGTGCAGACCAGTAACTTTCTTTGGCAATGTTTGCCCAGGACATTGTCTGGAGTGCCTGATTTCCCTCTTGCATTCTCAGGCCAGTGGGGAGCTTTGTTTCACTGCACAAATGCTTTTTTTGCACCTTTTTAGTTAATTTCTGAAGAAGACATCCCCGGTACAGGGTATGTATATAAATAATAATCATCTGACCTGTTTTAATATGCTTATACAGTAAATTAAGATTGACATGGGTGTTTTTGTTACTGTCATTGTTTTAATGTATGACATTTAAGTTTACTGTTGGAAAACATTGTACATAGTCCTTAAAGAAACTAGCCCAAAAAACCAGAGATTTTAGAAATGTAACTATTTTATTTGTATCTTAAAGACAAAATGATATGCCTATAAAATTATTTTTATTTTCATTAGCTTTAACTTTTCTCATCCCGCTCCCAAGTAGATGCATATTGTTTATGAATGGGAGCATTGGCACTACTGCAGCCTTCCTTGCAAAGGCACCCTGTTCAATTTAATGCAAGATGACTGAAGCAACTGCCTTAGAGTCATTTCTCCTTTGATCACATCCCTGTCCTGTTGACAGTGCACGGATAGGGTCATCCCTTCCTCCTCATTCCTCTAGAAGTAACACCGATGCTTTGTTTTGCCTACTCTACAGTCTGAATCACACTTTGCACATGACAAACTTACATCTAGAGGAATCAGTTGATGCTCACATACATACATGTACTTTTTGTTTTTCTTGAAAGATATAGAAAATAGGGACAGTTACATGCTCTGTAGTTTGGATTTTTTTGACCAATCAATACAAGTAGATTAAATTACTGAAAAAACTGATGAGGTTCTTGTGCGATAAGGATTGTTTGGTACTTAGATTTTTGCATATACTGAGACACATTATCATCCTTATCTCTGTTCTGCAGATGGTCAAAACCCATCTTTTTCTAGAAAGGCAGTTATCTTTCCTCTGAGAGGGCTGCTTTTTTGCAATATCTTTAAAATAAAAATAAAAAGCTAAAACAAACCAATTTACCTTTTATCTCAAAATTTAGTTCTCTAAACCCCTTTTACTCAAGCTCTAATCCTGATGAACAGCTTGTACTACAACAGTGTCTAAACTGACTGACTGTAAAACTCCAGTATTGGATTATATCTTATCTTTTTGCTAAAATAAAATAAAATATGAAGGACTGATATTAAAGTTAAAAGTCAAGGATTTCGGGTTTGAGAGGGAAGGAATGCTTTAATGTGGCATTAGTTGCCAATCATGTAGGATTACTGAACTGTTTTTAAAAAAGCCAAAAGCTTTACTGACTCTCCCAGATGTGCTAATGTTTATATACTACTTAAGTCTTATTTTACAGAGTAATGGTACTGACTAATTTTGCTGCTGTTCGTGTCCTTTAAGCTGCCTGTATATTGTGCTCTAAGAGGAAAAAATAAAAATACTGTATTGTTAATTGATCAAGTTAAAACTACATAATGACTAATATATTTAGTGCAAAAAACGTATCAAATGTTCAGGTTTTTAAGTAAAATACCATTTGTGCAGGGTTAATATTACTGTTCTGTGTGACAAAATGCATTATCTACAGGTTAAGAATCCATTATGTTTTAATTTGTAAGTTTGGCAACATTTGTACAGCCAAAGCATTTATCTGAGATTTGTATTGTACTAGTTATCATAATGCACCCTTTTTCAGGGCAATGCTGCATCTTTCTTATGACCGCTTTAAAAGACATCAGTGTATATTAATACAGCAAAGTAGCCTTAAGTGTATAGTTTTCCTCTTAAGAGATACATTAGCAGGGCCGTCCCTATTGAGGTGCGGGGCCTGGGGCGGAAGTGACGAATCTGTCTCTTCTGGGACCGACCCATCACTTCTGGGACCAACCACACCAGCCAATCACACTGGCCTGTGGGGCCCCCCAAAGCGCGGGGCCTGGAGTGGTCGTCCTGATTCACCGTACCCAAGGGACGGCTCTGTACATTTGTTATGTGAAAATTGATTTCCCCTTTACTCAACCAACCTGTCTCTGAGGGTAACCAGTTTCCTTTTTAGACCCTTAAGATATCATACTTCTTGTTCCTTTAATTTATATTCACCACCCTTTACAAAACAAAAACAAAACCTTTCCTCGGGACCTAAAAGGGGTGGATGACACTTGAGGGTGCTAAACTCTATGAAGTGCTGAGGACATCCTACTCCTTGTGAAGTCAGCAGGAGTTGAGGGAATTCAGCATATCCTAGGAGATGCTCGGCACATTACAGGTCCAAGCCTTCACTTTAGAGCCCTTCAACCTTATTCCTTAATTCAGAGAGGTGGTGATTGTTTTTTAAAAGGTTCCCCCTTCCACCCTGGGGCTCAGCATAATGTCTCCACAGCAGTCTCAGATCTCTTGTTTCTCAGGCCAGTAAAACCTAGGAGTGGGAATAAAAACCCTGGTCCCTCCTGCATGTATAAGAGCACTGACAAATAATTAAGAAGAAAATCAGTGCCTCATTAACATTGGTGTGCTTTTAGAAACTAAAGGAATAATCTCAAAGGGATCTATTTTTGCTGTGGTTTTGCACTGCAGTGGAATGTAACTTCTATGTATGTTTCCTCACTCCTAGTAGTTGCTACTTCCCCAGCCAAGTTTTAATGATGAAAGAGAAATAAATGTTGCTGTATTGTAAAAAAATTACTACGTAATAAGGTGGTAAAGGCTGCAGCATTATTTTTCAAAACCATGTATTGTTTTTGCTTTTTTGAAGAAAATTTCCCAGTTGTCTGTTTAAACCTATGTTGGAAGGAAGCTTCTGTAGTTAGTCTCTGGTGTTGTATTTTGCATGACGTTTAATTCCATTGTCTTCCAGGTTACTTGGAAATTTTTGTGTGCCACATTAGGTGGTCAACTCAGTCCTTCCTCTTCTTGTGAAAAGAGTCTGATCCCATACTCTTCACTCAGGCAATACCCCTATTGAAATCTGTGGGAGTTTCATGTGTGTAAGGAGTATAGTATAGTGCCCAGAATGGAAATTCTATCTAGGGCATATACATTCATGTATTGTATATTCCTCCTCATATAAGTGAAATTCAGTGTTGTGAGGGTTTAACAGCAATTAAGATATCCCCCAGGGTGCATTGATGGTGATTAATCTGGGCAATATAAATTTGATTCCAAGATAGCAAATTCACTACTGGTTTAATAGATGCACAAACTGATGATGTATGTTTATCTTAATTTTGGGAGTGAGGTGTGAATTCTTGCATGTCATACCCCCAGTGACCAGAAGCCTTTTTTATGGATACAGTGTTTTCGTTATGAAAGCAGTGACAGCCCAGAGTAACCATTAATGCTAGCCAGATGGGATATGATGGGAGGGAAACGTTCTAAATATTGTAAAAGAAACACTGTCATGTTTTATACGTGATTTTCAGTCATCTACTGTCTAATTCAATTGTATTTATAAAAACATTGTCATTTCACAAAGTTTCTGAGTGGATAACCCAGGGGAGGGAGGAGTTATACTATGTACAACTAATGATTATGACCTTACAAAGCATGTAATTAAAAAAAAATTAAGGTGTGCATAGGAAATCCTTAAAAGTTTTGTGCAATAAACTATTTTTGGTAAAGGGTTTCATGTTTTTACTTTGATAGTGAAATTAGTACACTTTTTTGCAGTAAACTTTTTTATATATAAACTTCTAAAGATGCTGTACAGAAACTTTTTAAAAAGATCTGTTTATTTTAAAGGAATATTTTATTGTATATTATTTTACAATCAATAGTTTAAATGTTTTAAGATTCATTGTAATTATGTTTCCATTATATTTAATTTATTGAGTGTGCTGAACATGTCAGGAATGATGAAAAATAAGTGGGGTGCATCTGTCTTGGCTGGATTTTGCTGACATTTGAAGTCAAATGTACAAAACTAAACAGTCGGGAAATGTCAATGATTTGAATTTAAATACAGAAATTTGAAATGAAAAGAAATTAATAAATGACTGTACTTTGCTTTCAGCATTAAACAGTGTAAGTTAAAGGGATGTTGTCAACCTCTACTTCAAGGCCTCTCATTTAAAGTTGTACACACTGGCTGGTTTATTGTAGTGTCATGCCTGTACAATCCCTATAAACTCTCAAGGTAGATATGCTGTACATGCCTTGTCCATACAGGTCCTAGCATTAACTGACTGTGTCCTGAAACTTTCCTACAATAACGTTTTTAATATGATTTCAGGTCTTGCAGCTGTGCTGGCCAGCATGAATGAAGCCTAACATCACTTCTATTTTGAGATGGTGTACTATTCACAGTGGACAGCAGTTATGTTTACTAAAATTATTTTGAATGGGTCTCAAAGAACACTTTGATGCATGATCTGTCCACATTGCAGACAAAACCATACATTTAATTAAAAACTTTGTTACAAGATTTTTTCCTAGCACATCACTTCTGTAACACAGACAGGACCAAGTAGTGGGTGTAGTTTTAGAGAAGACAATTTGTAGTTCAAAAATAATAGATAGTCAAAAAAATCAGCTTTCATGATGAAATGTTGCCCTAGGAAACTAAAACTTATTTTCTACATTTGTCTGCCAGGTGCTTAAAATGTTTAATTTGATGTATGTTAAAATTAGCTGGTACGAAAGGAATTCTAAATTTAATTCATCTGTCTCCCCACCTCTCACCCCTTTTCTAGTTTTTTCCCTTTGGCTCACTTTCCCACCACTCTGCCAATGATGCTCATTTCAAGGCACTCTGACACCTCAGAGGCATCTGGTGCAAGCTGTCTGTGTTTCAGATTTATATATGTGTGAGGCCAAGCTAGATAGCCATGTCATAAAGTGGGTTAAAATTCAGCCTTGTCTCCAGGAGAAAAACCTTGGTTCGGTGATTGGTTCTTAGAGGGTTGCTGCCCTCTTAAGTGGGTGGAGACTTTTAAAATGGTAGTTTTATTTTAGCGAAACCATAGCTGTAAAAACACAAATTTACTTTCTATCCAAGAAGAGCAAACTAAAAACAACTGTAGAACTATAAACTCAATCAGAGCCAGACACCACTGAGTGGTCAGGAGACAACCAGACTCCAAGGAAACTTATCAATTAATCTGGTAGCCCTTTAGCTGCAAAGTGGATTCCATCAACTAGCAGGTCAAGTAAACTCTGAAACATAGGCCAAAAGTAACCCCATGTCCCTAGGAGTCCACCATTACCAATACATTATCCACAGCCAGCTCCAACCTCTTCTTTTTCAGGTTCCTCCTCCAGCCTTGCTGCTTTTGTGATACTTAATAAAACAAGAAGCTGTATGTTAGTCCCTTTTCTGGGTTTCATACAGTATCCAGTCTTGTGCCTGTCTTAGAGAGTAAGCTCTTTTGGGGCACAGATTGTTTACATTTTCTGTTTTATCTAGCTTAAGTACGTTTTTGGCACTGAAACAATCACTGAAGCAGAGTAGGGCTTCTAAAACTAGTGAAAGAGCAGTGGCCAGTTGAGAAAGGTACCTATGCCCTGGGGGGACCCACACGGCAGCATTTTCTGAAACCAGACATGTCTGGTTCTAAATAAAACCTATGCACCTAGAGGATGACAGAAGGGCTAGGGATCAGATTCTGAATATACTGTAAATGTAACTGGATAAAAGAATACTTTTTCATAAAATAATAATTTTGCTGAAATACAGGGCTTCTGCACCCATCTGCTTGTTTTTAAATGGCTGAGTCAAGTTTAGTGCTGTTTCTTTGGACTATTTTTAAAAATAAAGTTAAACTGTTTATCTGCATAACCTTTTTGGGGTGTTATTCAGGGATGCTGGAACAAATTTTATAGTGGGGGTGCTGAGAGCCATTGAACCAAACTGTAAACCCTGTCTATAATGGAAACCACTTCAAGCCAGGGGGTGCTGCAGCATCCGCAGCACCTCTGGTGTTACTGATTCCCAAGTTCTTTGGGATCTAGCTGCTAATGTGGCAGTGACTCACGGTAGCCTTAGCTGAACGTTATCAAGGGCTGGACTACACCACTTCCACAAGCACCAAATGTTGTTAACTGAGTGAGTAACAAATCTTCAGAATGACAAAAAAATAAACAAAATTGGAAAAATCTTTCAAAAGATTAACAAAGTTCTTAAATTAGTGAAAGTATCAGTATTAGGACAATAAAAGTGTGATACAGCCACGCTACAGTGTTACCAACACACAGTGTACAAAACAGATTCCAGGACGGCAGCTCCAAGCATCACTGTATCCTACACAATCCAGGAAACACTTGTCCAAATCAACTCACATTTGACAGGAAAACCCTCTATTTTGTCCCCTACAACTCAACCTACTATGTTTTGGGGGTGGGAGGAGGCGATGGGGCAGAACTTAGACAAGGGAAAGGGGGAGTCTAATATAAATACATAGTATGTCCACATCTTGAATATTGTGTGTAGTTCTGGACACCCCATCTCAAAAAAGATATAATTAGAAAAGGGCAACAAAATATTAGGGATATGGAACAGCTTCCACAGAGATTAAAAAGACCAGGACTGTTCACCTTGGAAAACAGATGACTAAGGGGAAATATGATAGGTCTATAAAATCATGAATTATGTAGAGAAAGTGAATAAGGTGTTATTTACTCCTTCACATAACAAGAACCAGGAGCCACCCAGTGAAATTAATAGGCAGTCGGTTTAAAACAAACTGAAGGAAGTACTTCACACAACGCACAGTCAACCTGTGGAACTTGTTGCCATGGGATGTGTAAAGGCCAAAAGGATAACGAGGTTCAAAAAGGAATTAGATAGGTCTCTCAATAGCTGTTAGCCAAGATGGGCAGGGATACAACTCCATGCTCTGGGTGTCCCTAAGCCTCTGACTGCCAAGAGCTGGGCCTGGAGCACAGGTGATGGATGGCTTGAAAAATTGCCCCGTTCTGTTCCTTCCTCTGAAGCATCTGGCACGTCGCGGACCGGGCAGGATGGACCATTGGTCTGACCCAGCCTGGCTGCTCTTATGCTCAAAACCAACTTCTAACAAGAGCTCAGCTGCAGCCCTCGCTCTCTGCTCCCCTTTCCAGCCCCTGCAGCCCCTGCGGGAGGCTCCTGCCCATGCAGCAGCCCCAGGGCTTAGCCTCAGCCCCGCAGCAACTCCTGGGGCGCAGCGGGCGCCGGGCTCTCACCCCCAGGAATCCATGACTTCAGGAGGCGGGTAAGGAAAGGGCAAAAACCCCGCGGTGCGGCCCCTGCGCGTGCAGTCACCGCTACCCCCTCAGACAGCGCGCGGGAGGCACAGCTCCTATGAGCCCAGTCATGTTTTTTTCCCATCCGGCGGCTGGGCTGGGCGGGGCGGGGCACTAGAAGCCGAGCGGTTGTTAAATTCCCATCAGGCAGTAGCGTGAACAGCTTATTATTGTGTGTTCTGCTTTCCCATCATGCACTGGGACAGGACTCAGGAGGTGTAGGTGGGAGGGGGAGCTGAGTGCCTAGCAGGCAGCTCCGTGATCTGTTTTTCTCTCAGGCAGTGGAGGGGACAGACCTAATCTCGCCCGGGTGGGGGGAGTAGGGTCCTTGTAAGGCCCGCTGGTGGGGTCTGGCGCACGCGGGGAAGTGCGGGCGCGAGAGCGGTGCCCGCGAGGGGGGGCGGTGGGGGGAGGAGGAGACGGAAGCCGGGAAGCTGCCTGAGGTACCGTCCCTAAAGGGCGTTTGTTAAAGGAGTGTCTGGGATCTGGGTGTGAGGCGGGTGGGCTGAGCTTGGCCTGGGCTTGAGACGGGACGGGAATGGAGCGGTGGGCCGGGTCGGTCTGGGGTTCCCTGTGGGGGGCCGGCTGGGGCCGCTGGCCGGGCTGGGAGCTGTTGGCCGCCTGCGCGGTGATCGGCGTGGTAGGCTGGCTGCTCCGCTTGCTGGACAGGAGGCCGGGCGGTCGGAGGGCTCTGGGGCCGCTCCCCTCGCAACCCCCGCTGTCCGGGGGGAGCCGGCGCTGCAGTGGGAGCCGCCCAGGTGAGAGACTCCGGGGAAGCCGGGAGCGGGAGGGATGAACGGCCGGGCTCTGACGGGGCCGCAGCCTGGGGTAACCGCCCCTATGGCCCCCGCAGATCTCGGGGCCTCCAGGTGCTTCTCCCCGGTTCTTCATGGGCCCTTTTCCTCGGGGAGTCAGTCCCTCTCGCAGAGCCCCCAGTCTCTGCCGCCTGCCCACCGAGCGCCTCCCCGACCCCTTGCAGGACCCGACTCCCCTGAGAGCCGTGCAGCTGCTTCGTCGCTTCTCTTCTCGCCGAGCCTGCCACACCCTTGCTCTTTGTCGTGGGGCTGGCCTGCCCCAAACCTCCTTCCCCAGCCTGTGTTCCTGCAGATGCCTCTGGCTAGATAGACTTGCCTGCAGGCAGCATTACTGCTTGTCTCCAACTCCCCATCACATGTTGTCTGCACCACCCCCAGGGATCACTCTTTTTCTAAGATGTTCCTTCCCTGTTTTTCCTCTCCAATTTCCAGATCCTCTTCCTCTCGCATGTTGTCTGCCCACTGTTTTCTCAATATTGTGTCACTAGTGTCACCCCAGTAATCATCTCTCCTTTTTTATTCCAACCCCCCTCTTCCCCACATCTTATCCCAGACACATTTTCTAGTATATTTTTACCTCATATGTGGGTGTAAGACTCTTAGATGCCATAGTAATAGGCACTTTAGAAATAGCCAAAACTCAGAGTCCCCAGTCATACACATTATTCTTCTGTTGCACACAAATCTTGGCTACTTCTTCACCTGATTTGTAGCTAAAGACAGGGCCGAGTTTTAGGATTGTGCGGATTTTAAGGAGGGAAGGATTAAATGAATCATGAAATCATAGAATATCAGGGCTGGAAGGGACCTCAGGAGGTCATCTAGTCGAACCTCCTGCTCAAAGCAGGACCAATCCCCAATTAAATCATCCCAGCCAGGGCTTTGTCAATCCTGACCTTAAAAACGTCCAAGGAAGAAGATTCCACCACCTCCCTAGGTAACCCATT